TTTTTTTTTTTTTTTTTTTTTTTTTTTTTTTTTTTTTTTTGCCCGTTTTTTTCGTTGTGTACGTTGCACGTTCGGGATGGCTGCGCCCGGTAGTCCGAGCCTCGGCACGGGTCAGCCTACCGGTCGGCCGAGGTTCGGACTCGATAGCTGGGCCAGGTACTGGTGGTTTAATAACATGCTACTGTAAGTATGCCCTCAGAAGGCACACTCATAAACTGTCGAAGTTCAGACCTGAGTTCCATGCAACCTCGGGGAGGCTGAAGGGCCAGGATTTTTTTCTGCAAATTGTTGGACATGATTGTTGCCAGATTAATAGAGTCGGACCATAACAACGGTCGCATACATAACAACGGTCGGACACATTTAGGAAACCGCTAGTGTGAGTATGAAAAATCCCTGCGTATGCAAGTTCGGGGAAGCTCAAGGGCACACTCAGACGAGGACCTTTTCGGCCAATTCGTGGAGGTAATTTGTCTGCGAGCTTCTTGTCTCAGCCATGCACCACCTCCTTCCCCCGAATAGAACACCTGGTCATAATCGTCATATGTAGACTACAAGTTGTTCCAAATACAACTATAATGATCGTATGTTTTTTGCACATTGAAAGGCTGGTCGCCTGAATCCACTGCGCAATGTTGTAAATGGATTAAAAAAAAAAAAAAATTGGATTAATGAGAACATTGTCTGGACGTAGATGAACCAATCAGAATGCATGTGGACCCGGATGCATCTACGACAGTTTTCAGGTGGGAGGTAGATACGACGAGGAACTTTTGGTGTGTCCTTGCAAACAATAGCAGGATGAGGTGCAACTAACCGACCTGCGGGTGGATTCGTGCTTTCCATCTGCAATGTTCGATGATCCATAGTCAGAAATGTAGAATGTTGGTAAATTCGACGCAGTTAACAGTCCAGTCCCCGAGATCACGGGCACAAATGAGTCCAGTCACTATTGTCAATAGGCTTCCTTGTCATAAGCACGTTGCTTTTGCAAAAAAGAAAAGAAAAGAAAAGAAAAAGGAAAAAAGAAAAAAGCTCGTGGCTGTTGACGTCATCAATGCATACACACCA